TTCTCTAGCAGAATGCCATGGGAGACAGTTTTTTAATTAAAAAAAAAAAAAAACCTAAACAAAAAAACCCTGGAAAAAAACCCAAAGCCCCAAAAGAATTACAGCAATAACAAGTAGATAATATTATCAAACTTGTAGTCTCAAGCCTGTTGAGCAATTTTCCAGGTCTCTAGGTGTAAATAAGGTTGACACTTGGAAACTTTATTTCCCAACAGCTGGTCATTCAACAGTCACAAATACAACATACGTATTATAAGCTGATCAGCTGAGTTTTTAACATCCTAATTCCTCACTGAGCTCAGGTATGGTTAGCTCGTCTGATGGTAAAACTGTACCTATGCAGCACGACACTGTAACCCTCAGCAGAGTAGAGCTCTGAAAGCATGAAGCTGGATAAAGTCAGTCCCAGGGTAGGATTCAGCTCACCCTAATTTCAGACATCTACATCATAGTTGCCAACACGTGAGACCAGCTTTTAACCTTCCACTTAAGTCAACAGAGATCTAATCAATATAACCAGTGGAGTCTAGAAAGCAACTATCTTTCAAACTAAACAGTTCTCAAGGCTCTGTCGACTAGGGGTAGGACACAGCTTCCCAAACATACTTATCAATGTGATTTGACATGCCATAACGTATCCAAAATATCTACACAGAACAAGCAGATTTGATGCAGGATGCACAGGTCACCTATGCAGGCAGGTGGGATGCCACACAGAGACTCAAATCATGGTGGAAACCCATATTCAGGCAACTGACTCCTGCATTCCACTGTCTATATCAGCAGACATCTAGCTCAGATGGAGACACTTTCGTTGTAGGCACCAAAAATGAACTTAACTCCATTTTGGCAGAGGGAATCCAGAATCAGTGTAAGTGGAAAATATATTTTATGACCGACAAAAATTTCACACTAATTAAGTAACCACCACAGTTAAATTTCATAATCTGATATTACAAACTTTTCATTCAAATGAACAGAAACAGTGTGCTTTTGTTATGTATTTTTAAAGCAAATTTTAATAATTTTATGAAGAATAACGTTTGTCTAATATAATACTACGACAGAACTATAAATGAGGTCCCAGCTTCAATAGCAGCTCTTTCTATGAGCCTCAACAAGTTACAACTCCATTGCCTGTTAGGATATCTAATCTAGGATAAGAATTGTTCCTTCCATTTTTATTTATTAAAAAAAAAAATTGAAGAAAAACCCTATGCATACAGCTCACTTACAAATGAAGAATTGTCCAATAACTTACATGTTATATACGTCACATATTTGGGTATGTGACAGCACTAAAACATCCCCCAATTATTTAATTTCTCAGCATGACAGTAATAGTTAGAGAATAAAGATAATTAACAAATTCTCCTGTATCAATTACTTTTCAAGAGACTTTCAGCCAAATCCTCCCTGCTTTACACAAGTAGTCAGCTAAATGTAATGACATTACAGCTGGGAGTGTATAGGATTAGAATGATTTGATGCTTTGGTTAATACACATCTGTTACATGCAGCATTTAGCCTGTATGTATTATTGTATTTTGTTGTTGCTGTCATTCAATGCTTCATGAGCTAAGCTAAGCACATAAGGAATTATCATCAGAGGTGTATGATACACCAAAAGTACTTGCATAGTTCTTCTACTGTTGTCCACTGGTACCAATTATTGCGATTACCTCCTTGTCTACAGATCAATCCAAGGAGCTTTCATACATGTACATCATAAATCTTCCTATGCAAGAAATGACTATATTTTCTTTCTTATGCATTGTACTTACCTAATCCTTTAGGAGTAATGCCACTGCTATCAGCAGGATTAACCACCCAGTAGTAGTATTTCAGTGTGTGCATTAACTGCAGTACTGTTCCTACTCTGCGTATGGTGTTATAGATCGTAGCAGTTCCAATGAATTCAGCTGACAAGTAGGTATACAAAGACAACTGCACCTGAAGAATGAAATAGTTATCCACATAAATGTAAGTTATACATTAATAACTTTAATTTGTAGGGTTTTTAGGGTATACTCTGGATATGATATAAAAAAATAAAAAATAATTACGAACAACTTCACTTAGGGCAGGGACTGGACTGATATCTGGAATGACCTCCAGAGGTCCCTTCCAATCTAAATTTTCTATGATTCTATGATTTATGCCATGATAAACAACCTGGTTTGTTTTCTACCTTGTCTTTTTATACTAAAAGTGTATATTGCTACATTCTAGGACCCTGCCACTTTTCACTTTGGTCCACATTCCTCAACTGTGATTATTTAGGAAAACAACTAATTCATTATCACCAGAGATGAACAATAACTTTTTATAGTTTTTATGAAACCAAAATACGTAATTTAAATTAAAATCAAAGTTTATGCCAGTGTGTAAAAAAAGATACCTTACCTTTTGTTTACAATTAAAATTACATACTTTTATGCTTAATCTTTAGGAAAACAATGTAACACAGCCACTGAAAAGGGGACTAGGTTTCTAGAAACAGTCTTTTGATAGAATTAGCCAGAATCTTAGGCAAGAATGGAACTGCTTTTAGAAACTTATAAAAGACATTGGAGAATATAGTTAAGCAGGGTATAGACTTCATGATCTAAAAAATCTTTGTTATTACCATGTTTTAAAATTAAAAAATTAAAAACCTGAGTACCATGATATAAAAGAATACTTGTAGGAGAGTTATAATATCATTCAAGTGTACCATTACCTTTGCAGGGGTATGTATCCAGATAGCAGGATTAAAAAGAATGTGATCACATAATTGCTTCAATAGAGGTGCTCCATGAGACAATCCATCCAAATACTTCGCAAATGACAAAAATTGTTCCAGAACTGCTCTGGTTATATGAACTCTAGATGACTGGGGAAAAATAATCAGAAAGAACAAAGAAAGAAAAATCTTCTTCCTTAATATACTTACAGCAGAAATATGACGTGATATTTTACCCAGACTCACCTTTACTAAATACATGCATGTATGTTTTTATGTCACTGAATATTAAAGTAAGAAAAAATATCAGCAACTTATACTTTCTAAAAATATTCATGGTCTTTCTAATGGCTACATTTAACAGGTTAAAAATATTCATCAATAACTGAGGTTAAATCCTTTTTCTTTTTTTTTTTCCTTTTTTGTTTTATTGTAATCCAGTCAGGATTCTACATTTTATAGCACAGTGCCTTGAAAACTTCGTCTGAAATCCTTAACTCTTCTTCAGTTAATTATGTGTCTTACTGAAATTGGGTTTCCCAGTATGTAAACACACATTACTGGTAGACTTGCTTTTGTTTCTTAAACCTAAGTAGGTATCTGAAGGATTTGGGTTCAAGGTTTCCTCAAAGTTCAAGAGAGTCCTTCAGTTTCATAGCACATGCTATAAAATCACTGTTGAGAGCTGCTCCCATGCAGTAACATGGCATGCGGACTTTGACAAACTTCTTTATAGAGTAAGTTTACAAAAGGAACTAATAGGAAAAACCACTAAACATCCTTCCCCTTGCCTTTCCTAAAAAATGTTCCAATTACTTTTAATGCTGTAAGTACAGTCTGGGAACATGCAGATTTGTTATTTTTAGAAGTGAAGTCCATTTCTCAGTAATACAAGTTCAGCCTGGATGCTGAGTTTCCTTTGGCTTTTACATCACAATTCACAATAAATAGTCTGCAACTAATAAGAACAAAAATGTTATTCTGAAGTTCAAGTCAGGGGAAAAAAAAAGTTTTCTGTCCTCTCTGAATTACTTGATCACATGCAAATGAAGAACAGATAATTTACAAATAATAAAATTGAGCCTGGCTAGGAAACAAAAGGATTTTTTCCTGCCATGTGTGCCAACTGAATATAAGCATATACTGAAAAAATAAAATACATCCTTTTGAAAAACTGCAGCTAAGGAGAATACAGCATAAAAACCCCCAGAAAACAGCATGTGCTGTAAAAATTATGGTGTGACAGAAATCAATCAAAATCCTTTAAATATTCACATACCCTGAGTTTATTGATTGTAGCAGGTGTTAATTGGAATAGCACACAAACTTTTTTTTTAATTTCATGTACAACATTCTAAATTGATGTATTCAATGTGCGTAAACCATAGTGCTCTATTCAGGAGAACGGGACTCCACGAGGGCTCACTAGCCTGCCTGTGTATAACTTACAGAACTGGAGCTAACAGCTTTATAATTCATTCCGGTTATGTCACAAGAAAACATACCATTGGGAAAAAACGACCTTAGACTAGCTCTTCAACATTCTAAATCACACTTGCTTAGTACAGAAAACATAGAAGCATAGAAAATAATCTGCTATTAGGTATTACTTCAGCAAAGGTAAAGTCTTTCTACTATAAGAATGTATTTCCCTAGCTGAAAATAACATAGGGAGCAGAATGGGAGAAATTTTTATCATTCTTCTTCAAAATTCTGTACATCTTTAAAGGTGAGATTATTGTTATTTAATTTCACCATCGGACAACACAAAGCTCTGGTCATAACTTCTTCTCAAATGATTGTTATACTGACCTCATGCTAATGAAAAATACAGTAGCAGACATTCAGGAATGTCAGAGCCATGAGATTCAACCATAAAAGTATTATTATCTTAGTACAGTAGTTTGTTTTCACATTATTAAACCACAGTAACGTGAGGGCTTTGGGCCAGGAGGCAGGTAGTGTTCCTCAGACAAGCATCTGAACTGAACCTCAGTTTTGTAATAACTGCTCATCATGTCTGAAAACAAGTAAGTAAAGGGAATGCCCCTTGCAACTGTTTCTTTCAAAATGAAATTATGTTACAGTTTTTCTTCTTCAAAACACAGAACAACTATTTCAACAATTTCAGAACTGAGCCACAGAGGATTAACTTAATTTTTATTAACATACACAAAAAAAGAATTTTAAACCTAAATTATGACATGTCTGTGATATGCTTGTTACAAACTGGGAACAAGAGAACCTTCCTGAATGAGAGTTTGGGGGACAGAGTGGAAAAACACAAATGAAAATACATTAAAGTGATACACAAATAGATCTAAAGTAAAAGCATATCTTAGACAAACAGGATGAACTCCAGAAAATTGATTCTTTGAATATTGGCATATAAGAGGATAAGGAAGATGAAAAGACTCCTGTAGACAACTTATAAGTATTACAAGTCAAAAATATCTCGTAACACCAATATGTTTTATTCCACCAGTCCTTTGAGCTAAGTGATTGAAAATACCACAATGACAGTAGAAATACTAAGAACAAAGATAAAAAAAAAGTCCAAACATACCTTTTCAAGGAGGTAGCCAATGACTAGAAAGCCTTTTCCACCAAGCATTTGCTCTTGCATGGCTACTGAACTCTTAAGAAGCTCAACCAAGAAAGCCAATAGGGTAGCACTGCATATAAAGAACAAGCATTTTTTCAGATTACAAATGTACAAAAATCAATCTGTTTCATTCTCAATATTCACCAGCTATTAAGTGAACAGAAACAGGCTTGAAGTGGTAAACAATTCCTTGAAAGAACACAAATCTTACTTTTTCTGACAAATTTCTCCAATGATTGTTCACATATTACAATGGTAAGAGTGGGAGTTCATATTCAAATAGAAGTGCAAAATCATTTTGTCAGCTCTCCTGATTTGACCAGGACTATCCAAAGTTTTACATATCCAGTCCTGCAACTTGCAGTTCTAGCCAAAGGTTTTGCAGTTGGAAGAGGGAGGACATGATGAGTGGGATCCAACTGACAGTGCTAGAATGATGCAGGCAGGGGCCATGTCAACCATTTTACCGTCCAGACTAACTATGCTAAACAGCAAAATTTGCAGCCACCAGGTATATAATCATTCCACATTTTCAGTCCCCGGAGTCACTACTACCACAGAAATGAGGCATAAAATGGCTGAACATGCATGCGGGCAACAATGGCCACCACAAACCATAGTGGAACAACATCAGGGTGAAGAGCTTCCTTCATACTTTCTCCAGACCAAACATGAGAATAATATCTAGGCCTGACAAAATAAAGGCTGAGAATCACTTTCATCCAGCTAGGAAAGCACAGAGAGACTCCAGAGGCCACAAGCAAATCACCCAGCAGCCCATCCCAGCAGTATCTGTAAGTAAGGTGTTCAGAAAGCACAGGGAGAGGGAAAAAAGTGTTCAGAAAAGGTTACTGTTTAAAAACCGAAGAGATATGAAAGACTTCAGGGGACAGACTTGGCAAGAAAGTGAAACTATGTTACGAAAACCAACAGTGGAAACATGACAGATCAATGCACCATGGGAGAAAAATCACAATTGACTCTTGGGTGGTGAGAGGGAAACAAAAATACACTCATCTGTTGCTGAGAAACCCAGAGGAAAGGGAGAAAGAAAAAAAAATTATGACAGAAAGGAAACATTTAAAATGATTTCTCAAATATATCAAAAAGGTAGATGAGAGAATGCATTCTACTGCATATAAAGTCATTATTCTTTTTCTAAAAATATAATAGGTATAACAATTCCTAGCTGTACTGACAAATATCTGCAACCATGAAGGTTTTCACACAGGGGGTGGGCACAGGCAAAGGTGAAAAGTGTGGCTGTTGCTGCTATGAAAAAGTGAATTAAAGGAAATGATCAACCCGCATTTTATGAATTTCAACTTTACTTACTGTAGTCAGCTAAAGGTTCACTTGCTCTCCAAATACAATCTTTTACTTTGAAATAAATGTTGAGTTAATCCATGCCAGCACCAAAAAATAATCAATGTGCTGAGGAAAACAAGATTTATTCTATTTGGCGAGCAAGGCTGCCATGCGAAAAGTAAACAGTGTAGGCAAAGTACGTGCTGTGAACATAAAATAGTGCCTTGTCTTGCTTCATTGTTGAATGGTCACAATAATCAGCCTAAAATCACATACAGAATGCTCCACAGAGTGTCAGCAGTAAAAGAACACAGATAATATCCATTTACAGCACTCCAAAGCCTTTACCAAAACAGCCTGTCAAGCTGTCACATCAATATCAAACCAGGTTATATGCATCAATTTTTTCTTACCTCGACTGAAAGTTTCTATTGTACTTGTCATCTAAAATAAGATACTCACCATTTTTACTACATGACAATCCATAAGAAGCTCATGTAAAGGGTTGAAGATTTATATTTAGAAACTTTTTTTTAAAAAAATTGAATAGGTCAAAGAAAATTCCATACAGATGGTGCTTACTATGATCCTTTATGAGTAACCTTATGACTTAGGAGGACAACCCATTATGCATAAAGTTAAGAAACAACACACATCTTTGCAGGATTAGGACCTAAATTACAATAATACATACTATTAGTATTATCTTGAAAAATAAAAAAATATTCTTAAAGTGAATTTAAAAGACTGTTATACCATGAACATGGCACCAGATTTAAGCCTAAAAGGTTCTACTTCCACTTCTATAAGTGATTTATCAAAAGCCCTTTTCTTTGTACTGCAGTTTATTTGTCCATTCTACGAATTTAGATGTAAAGTCATGGGCTGGAGTTATTCCTATCTCATATTAATACAATCTCTATGCAATTGTTAGAAATTCTGATAGGACTCCAAATACAAGTTATAAGACACACTGACACCCTAACAACAAAGATTTTCTCTCTTTTCTTCTTTTTAAGTATACGTAAAACACACCAGTCAACTCAGAAATAATCAGTGGCCAGTTAATATTTAACCATGCCACAGACACAGAAACATACAAGCTGGTTCTATGCAAGAAAGACTGAATCAACAAAGTTTATTAATTCAGATGCAGATAGAGCCCAAATATCACTTTTTAGATATTAACCATCTTTCTGTGGGGTATGGCTGAGCTGATCAATCCTGCCTGCCCACATTAGCTCTGCAAAGAGCTACCTTAGTTGTCACTGCAAAGTGATGCCAATGTTTCCAGTTCCAGGAAAACGTATTAATTCAGCCAATACTTTTGTGAATGAGCTATGCCTTCTCCTAAGTCCAAAATGGCTTTTAACATCTATTGAACCAGACACATAAGGACACCACAAGTCAGCTCTGCAAAGTCAGCTCAGGTCTGCAAGCAGTACCTCTAGCTTCTAAGCCTTCTGCATTATCCAAGATTGCCACCATAAATAACAGAGTTGACTGTAGTATATAGTAATTCAAACCTTGGGATAGCACATGTGAATGCATCACTACACTTTACACCTTCAAGTACATAAAAAATTCCAAGTACCAGAAAAAGCAGCAGTTAAGGAGAACCACTTGGCAGTCACATAGTAGAGGCACAATGAAGTCTGAGGTGAATACTGTAGAGTATTGATGAAAATTAGCACCATAATTAAATGTAACTAGCAGTTTGTCCACATCATTATGCAGGAAATGAAGTAATTAAAAGATCTGTAATATTTTAACTGATAGAAGAACTGTAAAATCAAAATGGAACTGTGTTTAAATTCTCACTGCACATACAGTACTGAAGCTATTACTACCTGAAGATGACGATCAGAGACAGGCAGAAAACAGATTACATGCTTAGTCTGATTTTTTTTCCAGAAATCTTGCTTACACTTGTTTCAGGTGAAACTTCTTTTTTGGAGGAGGAAGGAGGGAATGAAACTGCACTTAATAACAGCTGTTGCACAAAACACTGTTTTTACATGTTATGCTCTCTATCTTACATACTTTATGCTACAGAACATTCAATCTGCCTGAAAAGACCCAACAGTTAACAATTCTCCGATAAGCTTTCCCAACCTCTTCAAAACTTCTCTTTCCCCACATGTTCAGACTGACCTCAAGCAAACACTTAAGTGTGTGCGTGTATGTGTATATATATGTATTAAAAAAAAAAAAATCCATACTGACATAATGGATCTTTTCTCCTCAATACTGCATTCTAAGAATTTAGTCTTCTAGAGAACTGACTGCCCAATTTAGAGGATTGTATCCAGACCTTTTAACATATTTCTAAGGATAGTCAATTTATGTAGTCATCTTGGCAGCTGAAAATAAATTAAACCTGAAGATTTTAAACATAAAAATTTTTATCAGCAGAACCAGGTTGCCAAAATTATGCTTTTAAAAAGGTTGCTGTTGACACAGGGGAAATAATATTGATTAGAAGACTGTCTTCTAAGAGGAACAATTTTTCAAACAGAATTTAACAAACTTACCAGTAACTAAAATGCATCGGATTGCTGCAGGGCTCACATTAAACTTGCAAAATTCTGTGCACTGCCATACAAAATTTCTCTCCATTCTTGCCTATTTTCAACTCCCCTAGATACAAAGGCAAATATAAAGGATACTTCAGCCCATTCCTACATCTCCTCTATATCACGCCCTGCCTAGAACAGATCAGTTTTTCTGCAGTGCAGCTAAGATACAGATACACAATAAAAGTATATATGTCAACCAAAACTAAATAAGACAGAATTATGATTTCTACTGAAAATATGATTAATTTCAGGACAAAATTTTTCCAGCAGTTTTCCATTATTAAGAAGCAGAAAAAAAAAAGGTTGCAGACCAAAACATGAAGATGCTGTATTTCCAATGGTTATGATACTGCTTATTCTATAATTAGCATATTGTAGAGGCAGTAAGTCTCTGGAATACTGTTACGTAAAAAACTGAAGACTAACTACATTGTTACAGCATTGCCTGATTTTCCCCTCAAACATACATGTCCCTTGTGAAGACTTAAAAAAAAATTTATTTTTTTTTTTATAAATAAAACAGGATTGGTGTTCACAGCATACACTGTCTGACTGGAAGATGTTCTTAAGAATGCTTTCATGTCTATGCATATTTATTAAATTTGTGAAGTCCCTCCCTACTTATAATTCAGACAGTTATTCTTATGATGTGCACTGTGAAATTACAAATACCACCTAGCTTATTTCATTCATCTAAATATATAGATATAATATGAATAACTATTATGTTTCAATAGTTCATCATGTTTCAACATTATAATGTTTCAGCATCACAATCTTCAGTCAACAGTCATGCAATGTTACTCCTTAAATAAAAAATATACTACAGATATTCACAAAAACAACGGCTTCTGTAGATAACAGTCTTCAAAATTCCAAAATATGACACTTCCTTCTTCATTAAAATTAAGAATAATTACACACATAAATAAATATTTTATTTTCACTGCCCATTTATATCTATGGGTATTTAAAGAACCTTTTCATATTATATGTAAAAGAAACTCACAGTGGAAATCCCAGGGTTACGAAGTCTTTATGCTATGACAATCATCGAACAAGAAAGAGCTGCCTTTGTCAAATTCTAAATTGACTGGTAGTTCCCACTAAGCGAACAATTATTACTGTTTTGTGGAGCTAAAATACAGGACAATTTAGATAAACTATTCTTATGAAATGAGTT